CCTGTATTCCCCCACCTATGTTCTCTGTAGTGTGTAATGTGTATATATAGCTACAACCTATGCTAATATATGCATGCCAAACAGTTCATATAATAATATACAGGGTGTCTTAAACAAAGAGACTATAATCTATCGTTGATCTCTATGACAGGGTGAATCAATAAAAGCCAAAACGTGAAGAAAAAAACAATTTTCTATAACCTTAGACGAGAACGAATAGTTATAAAAATGGAGGGCACAGAAGATAAAAAAGGTAAACAAAAGTGAAATTTTATATTTTATATTTTATATCTACTTTTACATTTACAAAAAAGCTAAACTTGATTTATGATAATATTAGCAATAATTTCGTATGTCGTTTAAAATCAGACCTCGTTTATTAATATTTTAAATTTTACACTGCAGACTGAGATGAATGTATTTCACTAAGGATTTAGTATAATTTGCGATTGTTGCAAATATACCCAAAAACTGTATTAAAATCCATTACACAGACCCATATATCACTTTAAAAGTTGATTTTCAAACTATTTGTTTGATAACAACATCAAATACACGTAAATAAACAATATTCCGTGGTCTAGTTTAAACTACAATCCCACGAAACTCTGAAATATTTTGGTAAAAATTTAATTTTTTAAATATTCGCAATTTCTNCGCGCCGGGTCAACCTTTCCGGTCCTATAGTTTGTACTGTACCTAGCTCTTTGGCCAGGACTAGCCGGTGCAACAAGGTTGACGCGGTCAGACTTTATGCTTCATATAGTTGAATTTACTTTTACTAAAGGGGCAGAGGTGCGTGTAGTACGTAATACATTTTACCCCTGAGATTTTGAGAGATCAAAAGAGTTTATGAAATGTCTTTCGAAGGATTTTATACTATTATACGAAAATTTCAATAATTCCAAAAATAAATAAATAGCCATGAATATGCGGCAATAGTTTTAAAGAGCTCCATATAATCATTTAATTAAAAACTAAATATCACTAGCATTCTATTATCAACAGAAAGTAAGGAATACGACATTTTTTATAAATTCTTCCGAAGTCTCTTTATATTTGAACTTAACTGTATAATGTAATAATGTTTTAACCTATCGGAAATATGAATTTTTAGATCTTAAAAAATAAAATTTCTTAAATGTCGTCTTTAGCTGTTCTTCAGTTTCCTGGTTCACACTGTATCATCATTAGATATTCTATTTAGTAAGACTCCATAAAAACTGGGGAATATGTTACATCATTATTCATATACACATCGGATTTCTTAAATGTCGTCTTCCTAATATGCAGTTTTATTATCATTAGATTTCTTTAATGTCATCTTTTTAATCTGCAGTTTTATTATCATTAGATTTCTTTAATGTCGTCTTCTTAATATGCAGTTTTATTATCATTAGATATCTTTAATGTCGTCTTATTAATCTACAGTTATATTATCATTAGATTTCTTTAATGTCGTCTTCTTAATCTACGGTTTTATTATCATTAGATTTCTTTAATGTCGTCTTATTAATCTGCAGTTTTATTACATTAGATTTCTTTAATGTCGTCTTTTTAATCTGCAGTTTTATTACATTAGATTTCTTTAATGTCGTCTTTTTAATCTGTAGTTTTATTACCATTAGATTTCTTTAATGTCGGCTTTTTAATCTACAGTTTTATTATCATTAGATTTCTTTAATGTCGTCTTCTTAATCTACAGTTTTATTATCATTAGATTTCTTTAATGTCGTCTTCTTAATCTACGGTTTTATTATCATTAGATTTCTTTAATGTCGTCTTCTTAATCTACAGTTTTATTATCATTAGATTTCTTTAATGTCGTCTTCTTAATCTACAGTTTTATTATCATTAGAAACCATTAATTGTAGAAAATAAAAATGAAGGATGACCTTTATGAGTCGTTTTGCTACTGTCATGTTTGAAGGAACACCCTGTATCTTAAAAATATTAATTACAAATAAATGATCAATTTATACATTAATGATGCAAAGGTTACAAGTTCTGACACAAAAAATGGATTAGAGCTTTGCCAATTATTTCTCAAAAAAGACTTAAAGCAGGTGACAAGGTCAAATTTTGAACTGAACACTCGCCACAAACTCTGATTTTCTTGTACCCAGAGATTAATTAAAATAACAGATAGGACACTAGATGTCGTCTTTTCAAGATTTATGTGTGTTTCGTTCACTGTAACCCTGAGGCAGGAGTTACACCTTATCGGCGAAAAACAGGCTCTCTCTCTGTCTTGTTCTAAGCCAACTATGCGTAACTACTTTGTGCTTCTGCCTCAGGGTTATAGTGAACAATACACACATACATCTTGGAAAGACGACATCTAGTCTCCTATCTGTTATTTTATTTAATCTATGCCTGTACCCCTCTGTACAACATTAATTCACGCATATTTTGTGGGTAACCCTAAAGAGTAAAAAGTTTGTGTACAAATGTTATTTTTTTATCTACAATTCTTTATGAACGAGAGTTCTTGACAAAATGGAGACTTTTAATGCCGCGTGTTTAGATTCACCTGTTCATTGCAAAATGTCACAAAATGGCGGGAGATTTAAAATCTGCCATAACTTCATGCAACGCTGCAATACACACATACTCAAAGGTAAATTTATTATATATATTAAGATTATTTTAATGTTTACAATTTTATAGTACAGGGACTACAGATGTAATTTCAAATGAACCTCCATTTTAAAAACTGCCATTTTGATGTGAATGTACAAGTTTTTATATAACATTACTTTGATAAAAAAAAATATTTTTTTAACAAAAATTATTTTTAGTGGAAGGATCCGTTTTTGTTCCGTTCAGTCTGTTTCCAGGTGAGATTTATTTGAACCCTGAAATTTCCCCTAATTTATAAATTTAATTGACCTTAGTGCAATCCCTATATTGAACCTAATTCAACCCATAAATTAAGCCTGTTTTTACACCTTGAAATTCCCTTAGTATACCCCTATATTGATCTCAATTAAACCCTTAGATTAACCCTAAGTTAGCTTTTATGTTAACCTAAGTGTATCCCCTAAATTGAACCTTTTAAACCCCTAAATTGAACCTTATTCCCACCCAAATCCAAAGGTCTAAAAACAGATTTCCAATTTACGTTTTTGTCAGCGGTATTACCCTTTACTCTTATCAATGGTCAATCAATATATTTATATATTACCAGAGCTGAAAATTTTAGAATGTTGGATATTGATATTAATGCTTGATCCTCTCTTTTTCTTAATATCGATACTAACCTAGTCTTGTACTTTTATTCTAAAAAGTTTGTAAAATTCAACCAATCAGAATCGCGTATATGAAGCCGATAAATTTGAAATTTTGCGCGCCATTTAAGAAAACTCCTAAATTGAACCTTTTCAACCCCTAAATTGACCCTTTTCAATCCCTTATTTGACCCTTTTTAACCCATAAATTGACCCTTTCCAACCCCTAAATTGAACCTTTCTAACCCTTAAATTGAACCTTTTCAACCCCCTAAATTGAACCTTTCTAACCCCTAAATTGAACCTTTTCAACCCCTAAATTGACCCTTTTCAATCCCTTATTTGACCCTTTCCAACCCCTGATTTGAACCTTTTCAACTCCTAAATTGAACCTTATTCCCAGTCACCCAAATCAAAAGGTCTAAAACCAGAGTTCCAATTTACATATTTATATTATACAACAGCTGAAAACTTTAGAATAGTGAATATTGAGATTAATGTTTGATCCTCTCTTTTTCTTAATATCGAGATTAATCTAATCTTGTACTTGTATCCTGAAAAGTGTATAAAATTCAACCAATCAGAGTCGCATATATGAAACCAATGAATTTGAAATTTTGCGCGCCATTTAGAATTATATAAGGAAACGGGAGAGACTCTTTAAATTAAAAAAAAAACGGTTTTTGATTTTTTTCTACTATATCCAAGAAAGAACGGGTTAAGAAGAAAATCAAAAGTGTGTCCATTGGATACTCAGATTAAGTAATCGGGAGTAGGGATATCTCATTCTAAAGTTTTCAGCTCTTGAAATTTTTTTTATATTATATCATAATTCTTTTATTTTAGGCATTCCACTCGTTTCTGCAAGATACTAGTGCAGAAGAAGAAGAAAACATAATAAAGGAAATTATATCTTAATTTTAAACAAATTTTTCTCTAATTGAATAATTACAAATAATGAATAATAGATAATTAATAGCTTTAAGCTATTAAATATACTGAGGCAGGTCTGCCGCTTTAGTAATTGTAAATTGGAGGTACAGTCCAAACTAGGACCCCGATGGTTGGCCCAGCTCGGAATATTCAAATGTTCTAACTTTTTACCAAAACAATATTCTGATGTTGGTCACTTTTCCTTCTCCCCTCAACTTGATCACACAGTTCTCCAGCTTTAGTAATTGTAAATTGGAGGTACAGTCCAAACTAGGACCCCGATGGTTGGCCCAGCTCGGAATATTCAAATGTTCTAACTTTTTAATGCCTACATCTTTACATCCCGATGTCGCAGACCTTCAATATTTCAAACTATGAATTCGGTTAGATTAAGAAAGTCTAAGTTTGGAATATAAAAGGTTTACACAATGAGGAGGCAAAGATATAGGGGTTAGAAAATTTAAGTTTGTGAACAAAACACTATTCCTTTATTCTTACCTGTTATGGTTGTTACTGCAGAAAAAGTACAGTAATAAACTGAAAACTGTGGAATAGGAAGACGACATTAAAGCAATACTGAAGTGCATTCTTGCAAAACAAATATCTTTACTGCTCGTAAATTATTTAATCAATTATTAAATGAAATGGGTCTGTTTACACTGCACCATTGCTCTGTCTAATGCTCACTATACTATTTAAAAGCATAAAACGAGTTTAAAAGTCGACTTCCTATTACTGAGTTTTCTGCTTGACAAATTTGTTTTATGATGGATATTTGTTGAACAGGATCGCGAGGACGCGGATATCATCGTGGATTTAAACTGTACTCCTTCACCTGGTAAGCTAAACAGTGGAACCTATAAAACTGTAGAGTCGGAAGACGACATTTAATAAATTATTCCACAGTTGCAAAAACGATGCAAAAACGCTTTAAAAACGCTTTAAAAACGCTGCAAAAACGCTGCAAAAACGCTGCAAAAACAGATCCGATAACGATGCAAAAACGATGCAAAAACGCTGCAAAAACCGATCCAATAACGATGCAAAAACGATGCAAAACGATGCAAAAACGAT